CTTGGGAGGCTGAGGCAGGAGACTCGCTTGAGCCCAGGAGTTGGAGGTTGCTGTGAGCATGATGCCATGGCACTCTACCCAGGGGGAGAGCTTGAGGCTCCTGTCTCAAAAAAAAAAATGAACGTCCTCTGCCTTTTGGGGGGTAGTTCAAGAAGGAAAATAGAAAATAAAATGTAACCATATCTTTCTGGGTTTGCCAGCCTGTGAAAGGCGCAGAGTAACTGAATTCACAAACTTACTAGACTTACTAGACATTAATTTTAGAAATAAGCAATTAGGGCTTAAAATTTGATTTAGTTATATAAAGTAATATATTGTTTACGTAATGAATTAAATTTACTACCTTCAGAAAACTGCTGTAGAAAATAAATACTCTAGAACCCTGAAAAAAGGAAAAATCTTATATATTTAAGAAAAATAGACGTATTAGACTTGAAAAACACAAAAAAGCAGAAACTTCTAATGTTACTCAGAGTGACTTTATGATAAAAGTTATAGTTGGGAATGATCACTGTAAATTATATATTTCAAAAGAACTTAAGTACAATAAACAAAAATTTTGATCTTGTTGTACTACCAAATTAAATGTTTTCATGTGGAATGCCTACTTAAAAATAGCTGAGACAGGGCAGCCCCTGTGGCTCAAAGAAGTAGGGCGGTTCAAATCCCCCATATGCCCAAGGTGGCGGGTTCAAATCCAGCCCCCAAAAAAAACTGCAAAAAAAAAAAAAATAGCTGAGACAAGCATCTATTTATGTGTATATGTATGTGTATTTGAGGTTCTGAAATAGGAATATTATACTCACATTACTATACACCTTCACGATGAAAAAGGTAACTTTCAGACAACTCAATATTTAGCTGGGTGTTGTGGTGGGCCCCTGTAGTCCCAACTACTTAGGAGGCTGAGGCAAGAGAATTATTTAAGCCCAAGAGTTAGAGGTTGCTGTGAGCCGTGATGCCACAGCATTCTACCAAGGGCAACATAGTGAGACTCTGTCTCAAAAACAAAAAAATAAAAATAGCTGGGACAAGCATCTCTTTGTGTGTATATGTATGTGTATTTGAGGTTCTGAAATAAATAGGAATATTACATTCACATTAATATACACCTTCACAATGAAAAATGTAACTTTCAGACAACTCAATTACAAATCTGAATTAGTAGGATACAAATTTTGCTTAGTTATAATTTTCATTAATTAGTATTTTACAAAAAGGGAGATAAGAAAAAAGTATGATGGAGGTGGGTCAAAGCTTTATATTCATAATGGCTGTTACCTTTTTGTGTTGATCAATGTATTTGTACATAATCCACGAAGTATTTTTATAAGAAACACATGATCCTTATTTTCTCTACTGTGTTGGAGTATAACCATAAATTTAACTTCTCACTGTGAAAGGAATTAAAAGATAAATATCGTTTGCTTTACTGTCATGCAGGGGTGTCCAACCTCTGGCAGTGGGCCACATGCTGATTTTTATAAGGATTTTTTTTGCTCATCTGTGGCATTGGATATCATGAAAAGTATGCATGGACCTCTTTTTTTTTTTTTGCTCATCAGCTTAATGTTTGTGTCTACGTGGCCCAAGACAGCTCTTATTCTTCTGGTGTGTGGCAGAGGGAAAAAAAGGTTGGACACACCTGATTTAGAGTCTCTGTGTTAAAGCAATCATCTGGGGATTGCTTTTCCAGTTTTTACATTAGAATCAACAGTGTTTACAATCGGATTTAAACAAACTCTGTGGTTTTACTTAGTAATGTAGTACTCAGGAATTAATTTCTTTTAATCAGTTGCCACCTTCTACAAGCTTTCACAGCACATAGACTGTTAGAAAAACATCATAGGCAGCAGTGCACTTCCAAGTCAGAGCAGATGACAGGTCGTTAGAAGTGGTGAATTCTAATATTATACTTCATCAATCATTCTTGTACCAGAGTCTCCAAAGGATTACTTTAGAAAGACATTTCATTTTTGAAATTCAAGACTTCTCTAGTAGCTAAAAATGTTGCTTTAAGTTGAATAAACTATATTTTTTAAAAATGGTAAAAGACCTACCTAGGCAACCCAAGTTTCATGGCTGGAAAAATTACACCCCACCCCCACCCCCCGCTCTCCTGATTCACTCTAAAATAAGAATCACAGTATAGGGCAGTGCCTGTGGCTCAGTGAGTAGGGCGCTGGCCCCATATACAGAGAGTGGTGGGTTCAAACCCAGCCCTGGCCAAACTGCAACAACAAAAAAATAGCCGGGCATTGTGGTGGGTGCCTGTAGTCCCAGCTACTCGGGAGGCTGAGGCAAGAGAATTGCCTAAGCCCAAGAGCTGGACATTGCTGTGAGCTGTGATGCTTTGGCACTCTACTGAGGGTGACAAAGTGATACTCTGTCTCAAAAAAAAAGAATCACAGTATATTCTTAGAATCTCGAAACTAATACATTGAACATATTTGATACTTGAGACTTTCTAAAGTTTTTAGAACTTTATTTTAAAGTAGGAAATATTGATTATAATTACTAAGCTAACACTTCCCCCCAGAAAGATAATTTATATGTATCTGATAATTTATATGTATCTTCAAAGTAAAAACCATCGAAATAGATTAGCATAGAAACAGTCTGTGGGTAATAGTTACACCTGCATGTTATTTATTGGTCTTCAAACCCTTGGGAATTTACTTCAACCAAGGTTCTCTATGCCTCCATTATTTGTATGCAGCTCCAGACAAAACTCATACTAATTTACAGTTTACTGGTCCCAATCAGGGAAAATGATATCTTTCCAGTAAATTAATATAAGTCAGTTATTGCAGAGGCAATATAGAACTTATGCCCACTCTATAGGACAAACCGTGCCAGTATTTCCCTATCTCAAGTATCAAATTTAAATGAAGTATTCAGGAGTAGCCTATATGATCACAACCTAGATGATCTTAGTCTAAATTTATACCTCGGTAAAGTCCAGTGTTTCTGGATCTATGTTCCATGGATACAATGATTTTTATTCATTATATTCTATATAAAATATAATTTATACTTCCTGAAAGGAAGACAACTTCCTTTTAGTAGCCTTTGTCTTATTTTGAATATATAATTCACAGGTTTACAAACTTTCCAATGACTACAGTTCAACTTATATTTCATCTGGAAACATTTGATAGGATGTTATTTTATAAATTAAGTATTTAAAATTCATTGTTGGTCAAGTTTGTGAAAGTGGGCGGTGCCTTTCTTGTAGATAGCAATTCAATACATGAGTAGAGGGTAGCTCTGCAGGCTGTACCTCTCATCCTTCTCCCTCTATTTGAGCATCATGTACCATTTCTTAATCCATGTCCTCATGCAACAGACCACAAGGGATTACTGGGAAAAAAAAAAACATAGGATCACACTGGCCTTTCCTCCTCTCCAAAATGCCAAAATATTTCAATGCCTGTGTTTCAGTAAGATATATAACTGCCTACAAAAGTCCTCTGGAGTTTCCTTACTAGAATGAAACATACATTTTAAGACTTAATGATTTAATTGGGGGTGAGGAGAGCAACAGTCACAGTATTTTCAAAAAGTGCAACAATTCAATTAAGGTTCTACATCAATTAGTGTTGCCCTATTTTTTTTTTCATTTCAAAAGAATAGGCTTTAACATGAGAAATAAAATATATGCCCATCATCTACATATTCTTCATCTTGGCCATGAGGTCTTCCAAGCTTTCAGCAGAATCTTCCACTGTTACCTCAGCTATAGAATCTTCTTGCTATCAACAAATAAAGGAAATATAGTGAAAAAAGAACAATATAAAATTTTGATACTTTAGAATATATAGTCAGTGAGCTTTAATCATGCTCAAGTTTATAAAGTAAATTTTCTTTAATAAATACTCCTTCTAATTTTTAAGAGAGTAGTATACTTTGCCCAGCTTTCTGATTTATAAGGCAGTAATTTCAATACTCTTGACATCTCCTCTGAAGCTTTTTTAAATGATACCGTGGCTAAAACTATCAATATATAAAAATGATATTGTCATTTAATCAAAATATTATAATTTATTGATGAGTGAACAAAACTACTGCATGTCTGTTTTTAAATAGTTTAAGCTATGAATATCTTCATATTAACACTGAGTACCTCTATTTCTCACACCTTAATGCCTGTAGCATAAGACCCCTAAATCAGGAAATACTACATTGGCATTACAAAACAGAATAAAGATTAAAGAAGGTAAGCATACGTTTTCTCTTATATTAGCAGTAAATCAGATTTTTGAAGTACCTTTTTTGGAATTGTATATGCCACTGTAATTCCTTCAGGTAAGTTCGGAACAGGACCTGAAGAATTTTTCAGTTCCTCTTCTGAAACCTCAGACACCAGCTCAATACCTGTAGAGTTAAATTTGATCCTATAGCAGTTCTTAAGGAACTTGGTAAGCAATACTTACTCATATTTATGTTCTATAATTTACATAATCTTATAATTACATCCCCTACCATAAAAGGTTTTGTTTTATGCTGCCGTTTCAGTTTATAACAGAACTCCTACCCCACTCGTTATCTTCATGTATTATCTCCTCCTCTTCTTGTATAACTTCCTGTTTGGGCAGTGCTGCTGCCTTTTTCTGCAGAAATCAAATAGAATCAAAAAAGTGTTTTTACTCATTCTCAGTTCTCAGAAACATTAGTCAACAATTCAGAGAGGCTTTTTATGTCATCAGAAGACAGGTCTTTCATTTTTTGAAGTATGATGAATAAATTTAAACTATAAAAATTCTGAATCCATCAATCTTATATTAGCTTCTTTTTTTAAAGTTACGGTCCTATGCAATATGACCCTCCCCCACCCCCATGCATTCTGACAAATAGACACATACCTTACATTCTTCCTGCTGCTTCCTGCAGTTTCTGTCATCACACTGAGGATTTGGCTTCATGGACATAGTAGGAAAAAAATCCTGCATTGCATTGTATCCAAGGTAAAAACTAACAGTGCCAAAATTTAACAGAAACCTAGAAAAACAAATCAAAGTAAGCTTAAATAAAACTGTAAAAATACAAGATAGTAACTACAAGCTTTTAAAAATGATTTTCAGGTAGGTAATGATTTTTGTAATCTGTAACCCAGAAAACAGAAATTCAATCTTGTTTAAAATTCCTGCCTGATGAGATATTTGAATATTATTGAATGAAAAAAAGACTCCATTTATCATGGAACGCACTGTTATTTTCTGACCTTCTAATACAGACAGTGCTTGCAATTAAACTACGACATGGCAACAACTTTAAGAAGGATAATGATTTCAGAGACATTAAAATGTGAGAAAGTATGTTTTTAAAATACCTAAAATATGGCTTGGTGCTTGTGGCTCAAGCAGCTAAGGCGCCAGCCACAGCCACATACACCTGAGCTGGCAGATTTGAATCCAGCCCAGGCCTGCCAAACAATGACAGCTGAAACCAAAAAATAGCCAGGTGTTGGTAGTGGGCGCCTGTAGTCCTAGTTACTTGGGAGGCGGAGGCAGAAGAATTGCTTGAACCCAGAAGTTGGAGGTTGCTGTGAGCTGTGATGTCACAGCACTTTCCCCAGGGCGATAGCTTGAGGCTCTGTCTCAAAATAAATAAATTAATTAATTAAATAAAATACCTAAAATATGGTCCTCAATCTGTTTTTTAAAAATTTTAGCAATAACTTGCTTCTTCCCCAGTTAAACATTATTCCTTTTAAAATCTTCTGTATAGAGAAAAAACTTGTGTACAAAAGGTAAATGACAATATTTACTTTGCAAATATTTTTATGCACCTTCCTAATATAAAGACAAAAATACAGAGCAAAGGTTATTAGCAGAAAATTTGAGTGTTCAACCTTTTCCACAAATGAATATTCAAATGAAATGTCTATTTTTCTTACCTATCAGATTGACAAAGAATAAAGAGTTTGATGCTACCCAATATTACCAGAGGTATAAATGAACCAGATACTCCTATGCTATGGTGGAAATATATAATCCTTATGTAACAGAAATTCAGTAATGCCTGTCAATATGAATACTGCATAAATTCAAAATTTCCATTTCTAAAAATTTACACTACACAAAAATATGGTATTCAAAGATTTATGCAAAATGTTGTCTACACCATTATTAGTAATAAGAAGACTTATGAGCAGCCTAAATGTGCATCAGTAGATGGGCTGGCTAAATATGACATATCCTTAAGAGAATACTTTGTAGCCATGATTCTTTCTTTCCTTTTTTTGTATAATACTACAAAATGTTTTATTTATATAAGTACTGGCTCAGCACCTGTAGCACAGTGGTTATGGCACCAGCCACATACACCTAAAGTTGGCAGGTTCAAACCTGGCCCTGAATCCGGCCCAGGCCAGCTAATAGCCTGTAGTCCCAGCTACTTGGGAGCCTGAGGCAAGCTGAGGCTGAATCACTTAAGACCAAGAGTTGGAGGTTGCTGTGAGCTATGGTGCCATAGAACTCTAATGAGGGTGACATAGTGAGACTCTTGTCTCAAAAAAAAAAAAAAAAAGAAAAACTATATAGGGTCTACTGATGTTGTACAGACTATCTGCTGTTATATGAAATAGCCTTAGACTGTTATCTTGAGAGGTCTTTCATATGTTTTTTACAATTTCTTTGCTAGCAGCTGACGCTGACATCAAGGTGGCTTCTTGTATCATATTGTATTTTGTTCTTATTACATCTAAATTTTCTATACTAAGCATATAAAATTATAAGGTAAGGGGAAAAAATGAATTAGGGAATACCTAAAGAGTTTCTGATTTCAATAAAGTATGAACTGGTTCATAAATTCTGTGATGAATTTTAGCTGCAAAGAAACCTGTTTCTTCTGTTTAAAGTTTAGGGCCAGGCAAGGTGGCTCACACCTGTAATCCAAGGCAAGAGGACTGCTTGACCTCAGGAGTTTGAGACCAGCCTGAGCAAGACCCTAGCTCTACTAAAAATAGAAAAAATTAGGTGGGCGTCGTGATGCATGCCCATAGTCCCAGCTACTTGGGAGCCTGAGACAAGAGGATCGCCTGAGCCCAAGAGTTTGAGGTTGCTATAAGCTACAAGGATGCCAGGGCTTGAGATTGCTGTGAGCTATGATGACAATGACAAGACTTAAATCAAGATAGTGGAGGTATATGGGGCTGGCGCCCCACCCACACAGGCCCCAGCCAAACTGCAATAAAAAAGTAGCCGGGCGTTGTGGTGGGTGCCTATAGTCCCAGCTACTCTGGAGGCTGAGGCAAGAGAATCGCCTAAGCCCAGGAGGTGAAGGTTGCTGTGAACTGTGTGATGCCACCGCACTCTACAGAGGACGATAGAATGAGACTCTGTCTCCACAAAAAAAAATGGATAGTGGAGGTAAGTGTGTTTATGCCTAAGTCTCCACCACTGGTCACCCTTGCAGAGATTTAAATCATGTGGTTAATTATTTATAAATAAATATACCAGGAACACCATACAGCTATGCCAAATGCAAGGAGTAACTGATATTCATATATATTCATGAATATGTACATATACACATATATGTATTAATATATGTAATAGTAATGCATTTAAATCAATATATTTACAGATAAAAGTACACAAATGCATACACAGGGTGTCCATAAAGTCTAATACTTTACTATTTTAAATTACACATGAACCTTATGGACACCCTACATAAAAATATACACATATATAAAATATTTGAATTTAAAATAAACATGTAAATTTGAAAAAAATACTAAGCTAGTAATTTCAACTTTTTTTGGTTTTGCAGGGGTTTTGTTGATAATTTCAATATTTTTTTTTGCAATTTTTGGCCAGGGCCAGGTTTGCACCCACCACCTCTGGTATATGGGGCCAGCACCCTACTCCTTTGAGCCACAGGTGCTGCCCTTTTTTTTTTTGAGACAGAGACTCAACCATGTTGCCCTGGGTAGAGTACCGTGGCGTCGCAGCTCACAGCAACCTCCAACTCTGAGTCTTAAGCAATTCTCTTGCCTCAGACTCCCAAGTAGCTGGGACTACAGGCGCCCACCATAATGCCTCGCTATATATTTTGTTGCAGTTGTCATCGTTGGTTAGCTGGTCCTGGCCAGGTTCGAACCTGCCAGCCTCAGTGTATGTGGCTGGCGTTGTAACCACTGTGCAATGGGCACCAAGCCTGGTAATTTGAATTTTTAAAATTCTTCATGAAACACATTTATTTTATCAAAAGCATACAAGTCCATTCAAAATAATTAACCATCACTCACTTTAACACATTTTGTACTAAGATCCCAGCAACCACTCCCATAGTGGTAGGAAGACTGGCTGCACAAACACCTTCTCGTTTCAGAGTCTTTTCATCAATATTTGCAGCAACTACAAGGGGTGGAGCACACTACATGAAAAAGATAAAACACATTGTCAAAAAAAAGAGGAAAAAGTATGAGATGTTTCAAATAATATTCCTTACACTTAAGTTTGATCTTTTGAATTGTAATTGCATTTTCAATGCCCCTAACAGTTGGGTGGGAAAAAGCCTACCGCAAAACAAGCAGATTCTCCAGGAATTATGAGCTGTATATGCCCTGAAACTGCATTTTCACTGACCCCTGATTCCATCCATGTTTGTCCAAGTTCATTACAAGCCTTAAAAGAAAAAGGTGAAAACACAACACAAAAGAAGTAATTTATAATAAATCCTTTTCATGAAAAATTAGGGTTTAAAAGAATAGATTGCCCTAGTTTTCTAAAAACTAACTATTGGAAGAAATGAGGAAAATTTTAAATAGTGGAATCCTTTTTTTTGAGAATAAGAGTCTATGTCACCTTCAGTAGAGTGCCGTAGTGTCACGGCTCACAGCAACCTCAAACTCTTGGGCTTAAGCGATTTTCTTGCCGCAGCCTCCCAAGTAGCTGGGACTACAGGTGCCTGCCACAACACCCAGCTAATTTTTGACTGTAGTTGTCATTGTTTAGCAGACCCGGGCCAGGTTTGAACCCTCCACCTTGGGTATATGTGGCCAGTGCCCTAACAATTGAGATATGGGCACTGCCAAATAGTGGAATTCTTTGGTAATTACCACAGTCTATTTATTTAAAGACTGACAATATTCAAGAAGCAATCAGTAAATATCTCTTTATTGAACTGAACCAAAGTTTATTGGCTATCTTGTCAGATTAATGTAAAAATTCATTTTTCTAAAATAAATGCAGCAACAAAAAAATACCAAAATATCATCTGAAAAGTTAAAAATAATAATTCAAATGAAAAAGAATTCTTGGCCAGACATGGTGGCTGACACCTATAATCCCAACCCTTTGAGAGGCTGAGGTGGGAGGCTAACTTGAGGCTGTGAGTTCAAGACTAGCCTGGGCAACACAGTGAAACCTATCTCCACAGATAATTTAAAAATTAGCCAGGGCTGGTGACTCAGGAGTATAGTCCTAACTACCAAAAAGGCTGAGGCTGGAGGATCTTCTGAACCCAAGTCTTTAAGGCTACAGCAAGCTATGACTGCGCCACTGCACTCGAGCCTGGACAACAAGAGTGAGATTCTCAATGGAAACTAAGAAGGGGAAATCAAGATAGGGAGGGGTGAGGAATAAAAAATCACCTATCAGGTACAATGTACACTATTCTGGTGACAGGTACACTAAAAAGTCTTGAATTTGACATCATACAATTCATCCATGTAACAACTCTTGTACCCTCTAAATCTATTGAAATTTTGACAATATGTATTTTTCTGAAGTAAATACAAATACTAACATAAAAGAGACTGGGACACCATAACATATGCATATCAATGAGGCTAGACAGGTCCCATAGCTTGTAGAATAAATTTTAATGGAAGGCTAAGAATATTAAAAATAAACACAAAAAGGATTTAAATTCAGAACTATTTTTAAGATGGGGATTATATATACTGATAGAATATACAGGAAAATGTATATGATCCAGGAGTATAACATCTTACACAATAGGAATACTCACTGTGTTTATTGCCATTCGAGCTTCAAAATTATCCACACAGCTGAGAACTAGATCAACAGGTTTTCCTTCTTCTAACCCACCATTACTAGTCAAAGAAAATAAATTTTATTTGAAAGACACAAAATATATTCTAATACATTAGAATGCTTCACTACAAATGTAAATGTAATCAAAGCTAACTGACTGTAATTCATTATTTCAGAGGTGTTGTGACAGATTCTAAAGAAAACTGTTTTTAGGGAGAAATATAATCTACAACATAGAACTTAAAATCAAGAATCCCTGGTTATATCCCTGGTTACAGGAGGTTTTTGCTTGTTTGCTTTTTATTTTTTTCTATTGTTTTTGGAAAATACATACTTTTTACTGAGCTTTAATATAAAAATTACACCAAAAAAATTACTATTTTTTTGTTGTGTTTTTTGAGACAGAGTCTTGTGTTGTTGCCCGGGCATGAGGGCAGTGGCATGATCACAGCTCACTGCAGCCTCAAACTCCTGGCCTCAAGCAATCCACTTGCCTCAGACTCCCAAGGAACTAGGAGTATGGGCATGCACCACCATGCCTGGTTAATTTTTTGTATTTTAAAATAGAAGGGGCAAGGTCTTGCTGTGTTATTTGAGCTAGTCTTAAACCCCTGACTTCAAGTGATCCTCCCACCTCAGCCTCCCAAAGTGCTAGGATTATAGGTATGAGCCACCATGTCTGCCAAAAAAATTGCAATTTAAAATTGACAACTATTTTAAATATATCTGTATATCTCCCAATTCACTGAGTTAATCATTACATTTTTCTAATAGATTTTCAAATGATACTTGAGCTGGACATTGAACAAAATATTCATAAATGAAAATTTTACCTTATTCTATCCATGAAATGTTGAAAGTTGTCTACAGTGGTTATATTGTAGTTGTGTACTTCAAAAAAAACATCAGGATTAATGTTCCTAAGAGGGAAAAAAGGAGAGATTATACAAACTACTATAGAAAGAAAAAAGGACAAGAGTTGAAAGAGCTAAGGAGCATTTAATACACTTCAAAGTAGCTATTCAAAGAAAACCCCAAAGTTCTCTTTCCCACTTCAAGGACTAGGCTCAAAAACGTGTAGATTGTCATAAAGACTACAAAAATATTCCCACCCCAACCTGGGTCAAGTTAAGTGCTGGGAATTCAGACTCTACCACTTCTGGTAGCTACAGCTCAGCGTGACAACAAAAGTTTCTTTGGTCTTATTCAATTCAGTACATGTCTGGCCTACCAATATGTACAGCCTTCAAGCTAAGAATGGTTTTTACATTTTTAGATGACTGGGGGGAAAAGTCAAAAGAGAAAAATATATTCCAAGAAATTTACATTAAATTTCAGCGACCAAACGTAAAGTTTTATTGGGGGTGCAGACATGCTCATTTACATTTGTGTTGCCTACTGCTGCTATCACACTACATACAACTACATAGTCGAGCAGTGCGTAGGGAACCTATGGCCTTGGGACCCCATGTGGTCCTGTGGATCCTTGAAACCTTTTGACTAAATCCAAATTTTGCAGAACAAATGAAATCTGGATTCAGTCAAGGAGTTGACAGGGAATCTAGAGGGCCACATGTGGGCTTGAGGCTGCAAATTCCCCACCCCATTATGCCAACACATGTCTAACAGGTAAGAGAATTCTTTGCATAAGTGCAATGTGCATTTTTATAGAGAAAAATTCAGATCCATTTATACAGTAGGTTAACTCATACCAAGTACAAAAAGTAAGATTTCACTGAACTCTTTACTTGCTGTTCTGTTTACCTCAATGTATGTTCTGCTGCTTGAACTTTACTTAATCCTGCTTGATGAGGTTGGAAGAAAAGTCTATTCATATTGGCCAGTTCTACCTTGTCGTAGTCAAAGAGTAGCAACTAAAATGAAAATAGCAGTATTCTGATGAAAAACATACCAAAAAAGTAAAAATAACAAAGAATAAACTAATGAACTTTATATTCAATAGGTTTAACAATTTGATAATAGTATTACTTCACTTTTAAAACACTGTCATATATTAATTCACTGAATGCTCATGTGAGCTAAGTATGTGTATACAGGTACTTTTATCTTTTATGTTAGAAGTGAGGCAACTAGGGTGCTTGTAATGCCCTAGTTTCAGCCCATATGTAATGAAAATGAGATTCAGATCTAGGTATTTTCATTTCAGTTTTTAAAAATTCTGCTAAAATCCTACTGCATTCTAATTTTTTGTAAAAGCCAAGAGACCACTAAACAAATGAAATGTAATTAAGATAAAAACAAATGCTATAACTTAAAATTACAGCATAACCTGACTTCTCTTGTATGTATGACACAACATATACCCATCACATGGCTAAAACTTTATTTCAGACCAGCCAGATAGTTTTTTCCTGCTATACACTTAGGCCTGTTTCAAACAGCATTTCTCTCTCTCTCATACACACACACAGATTTATAATGGCCATAAGATCACATTTCTTATCAGTGAAAATAGGCTAGAGCCAAGGATTACCAAAGTCCCTTCCTGATCTAAAATTCTATGAACCTGTAATATAATTCTCAATATCACAAATTTAATAATAAAAATGGAATTTTCTTAATACACAAACAAGAAAGGAAAAAAAAAAAAACCTAGCTCACAATAACATCCCCAAGAGATAATCCTTAACATCCTGCTAGAAAAGATCTCAATTATACTCTCCATGGTCCATGGTAATTTTTTTCTTTCTTTTTTTCTTTTCTCTTTTTTTTTTTTGGAGACACAGTCTTATTTTGTCGCCCTCAGTGAGTGCCCTGGCATCAGAGCTCAAAGCAACCTCAAATTCTTGGGCTCAAGCAATCCTCTTGCCTCAGCCTCCCAAGTAGCTAGGACTACAGGGGCCCACCATCAACGCCCAGCTATTTGTAGAGATGGGGTCTCACTCTTGCTCAGGGTGATCTCAAACTGCTGAGCTCAGGCAATTCTGCCTTGCCCTCCCAGAGTGCTAAATTACAGGCATGAATCACCATGCCCAGCCTCTCTCCATGGTAATTTTCTAATACTATTAGAGACATAGTTTATTTAAACTTATTCAATGAATAATTATTAGGTCAGGCCAAGTGTTAAAGTAGTTTCTTTCTCCTAACTTATATATTGAGTAAGTTGCAAGAAACACTAAACTGGGGGAAGGATGTGAGTTGTATCTCTGCCACTAATTAGCTTTGATCAAGGGTAAATCAATTTCATTTGTTAGGCCTGTAGTCTCATCTGTAAAATAAAGCACTATTGGGTTGGCACCTGTGGCTCAAGTGGCCAAGGTGCCAGCCACATACACCAGAGCTGGTAGGTTCAAATCCAGCCCGGGCTCACCAAACAACAATGACAGCTGCAACCGAAAAAATAGCCGAGTGCTATGGTGGGCACCTATAGTCCCAGCTACTTGGGAGGCAGAGGCAGGAGAATCACTTGAGCCCAGGAGTTAGAGGTTGCTGTGAGCTGTAATGCCACAGCACTCTACCCAAGGCAACAGCTTGAGGCTCTGTCTCAAAAAAATAAAATAAAATAATAAAGCCTCTATTAATAGATCAAGTAATCCAAGGCACCGCAGATACTTTCAAGGGATTCTAGATTTTTTCTGGGTTTCCCATCCTATTTCCCTACTTCATTCCATGAATTAGCTGCTTATTTGTTTTATAGACTGAAGAAAGATTTCCTTACCTGTGCAGATTCTTAGTTTACAAACTTGATCGCACAATGGAATCACTGGGAGTTTTTTTTTAAAGTCTAGGTCTCATCCCCAGAGATTTTTAAAAAGTCTGGATCTGAAAGTCTTCATTTCTAACAAGTTCCCAGGTGATGCTGATGCTACTATGTCATCAGGAACCAGACTTGGAATAGCAAAGATCCAGTGGTTCTTAAGGTGTAGTGCCCAGAACATGGGAATTGCTCGAAATGCCAATTATTGGGCAGCGCCTATGGCTCAGTAGGTAGGGTGCCAGCCCCATATACTGAGGGTGGCAGGTTCAAACCCAGCCCTGGCCAAACTACAACAAAAAAACAGCCAGGCATTGTGGCGGGCACCTGTAGTCCCAGCTACTCAGGAGACTAAGGCAAGAGAATTGCTTAAGCCCAGGAGTTGAAGGTTGCTGTGACCTGTGATGCCACAGCACTCTACCGTGGGTGATAAAATGAGACTCTATCTCTAAAAAAAAAAAGAAATGGCAAATTATTAGGTCCCCCTGACATGTACAGAATGAAAACCACTATCTGGCAATGTTTTAATAAGGCTTTAAAATGAATCTAATAATATACTCAAACTTGAGAACCACTGATTTTTGACTATAGTCAAATCAGCTCAGGTTCTTAAGTCAGCTGTAAACCATTTTTTGGCTGCTTTTATAAAAGCCTTTTGAAAAATATTAAAATTTTAATAAACATTTTCAGTAATTTGATACTGTCTTTTCTATACTGATATATGTGTGACAATTTTAAAATGACTATAAGAATTTGGGGTGGACCAGCATATTACAAGATTTTTTTTTTTTATTTTTTTTTTTGAGACAGTCTCACTATGTCACCCTCAGTAAAGTGCCATGGAGTCACAGCTCACAGCAACCTCAAACTCTTGGGCATAAGCAATTCTCTTGCCTCAGGCTCCCAAGTAGCTGGGACTACAGTCACCCACCACAATGCCCAGCTATTTTTGTTGTTGTTGCAGTTGTCATTGTTGTTCAGCTGGCATGGGCTGGGTTTGAACCCACCAGCCTTAGTATATGTGGTCAGCACTCTACCCACTAAGCTACAGGCAACACCCCGTATTACAAAGTGTTGATAAAAATGTGCTATATTAAAATGGCAAATTAAAGGGTATGTAATTGTGGAAAGTTTGTCTATTCAGCCACTATGTATCTGACATCATAGACTTTGGCTTTATAAATTTATTTTTTTGAGACAGAGCTTCAAGCTATCCCCCTGGGTAGAGTGCCGTGGCTTCACAGCTCACAGCAACCTCCAACTCCTGGGCTCAAGTGAGTCTCCTGCCTCCCCTGGGCTCAATCGATTCTCCTGCCTCCATCTCCCAAGTAGCTGGGACTACAGGCGCCTGCCACAACGCCCGGCTATTTTTTGGTTGCAGCCGTCATTGTTGTTGGCAGTCGGGGCTGGATTCAAACCCGCCACCTTAGGTGTATGTGGCTGGCACCTTAGCCACTTGAGCCACAAGTGCCGAGCCGGCTTTATAAATTTAAGGTTAGTAAACTGAATTTGGTAGAAGAAAGTTTCTTTCCCTTCCTACCCACAATCCAAATCAATTACAGAAAAACGTAAAAACTATGAGTTTATGGGAGGCTCCTGTGACTCAGTTGAGTAGGGCACTGGCCCCATATATCGAGGGTGGCGGGTTCAAACCCAGCCCAGGCCAAACTGCAACAACAACAACAAAAAAAATGTGAAATCCAAAGCAGTCTCTAGTTCAAATTCAAGAGTAAGAAAGGTACATGCTTTCTACTCTGACTGGTATAAACACATTATTTAATAAAAATATATTAGATGTTTCAGTGTTCACTCATGCTACATGCTATCAATTTAACAGCCTTCTTCCCTAAACTTCCGTATATCTAAAACACAAAAATTCAAATTATTCATGTATTACCTCAAACCAAAAAGTTCCTGAACACAATTAGATAGTCTTTGTCTAATCAGCAATAATACCAACTTTTGTTTGGGTGGGGATATGTCTCAACTCTTTTGAGTAGAAAGAACAATGTGGATAAATACACTACCAATCAAACCATTAGTAAGGAGGAAAAAAATGTAACTAGTACCTGATTTACTCCAGGAGTTGGCAATTCCCTATATAATAAGCAAAGAGAAATGTTTTTACCTTACCAATGCCACATCTTGTCAGCATTTCAGCAGTCACACTACCAACTCCACCGACACCTACTATTGCTACAGCAAAAGTACGAATTTTCTGTGGAACAGAAAATTAATGTGTTGGTTGATAACTCTTCATCAAATATGTCACTAGAAATAATATTCATTTACTGAAATCATTTTCAAAAACTTGGAAAGGTTTATCATACCTCATAGTCGTTTACAATTCCCATTCGTTTCAATGCCATCAAGCGGCTTAAAACAAAGAAAAAAGTTTTAAAGCTTACAATCTTTTAGTAAATAATGATACAGAAAGACATACATCATCACAAAAACTAAATACTAAAACTCACTCATTACTAATCCTTTAAATAGGGGAATACTCTTACAGCTGGCTTTTAGCAAATAAGACTAAATTACCTGGGTGGTTTTTAAAACTCTCCCAGGTGTAGCCTAAGATTTTTATTTTTTTAAGCTTGTCATATATTCTAATGTGCAGTCAAGATTGAAATCTACTGACTTAAATGTTAAGGATCAAAGTGATTTCAACATTTTTCTATATTTTGGTAGTATATGGAATTTACTGTTTAATGTTTAACATTCAGATCTCCATCATCAAAATAAGCTCATGGCTGGAATTCCACTCATTGCCTCTACCCCAAAACGGACGATGTCTACTTTTAATAAGCACCAATCGTATGCCAAGGATTCTAAGTAATAAGATTCTCTTATTATCCTCATAAATTTTAAAGTTTTTACATCTGTTACGATCATATCCATAACATACTAACATTGTTATTTCTTTTCAGTTTTAGGCATTACTTGAAATCAGATTGCATCCTTACTGTACTCAGACATTTCCTATCCTCCCAATATTGTTATATGGCCATATGTCAACTGTTCACAACTAGGCCATGCAATATATTAGAACTTAGCCTTCTATAACCCTTATCCCTGAAGTTTATAACTGTCTCTCTTTATGTTTAATTTCCTGTGTATTTTCACAAATTCAACCCCAACTCTAGGCCATTAGTCTAAAATTCCTCTAGATCAGTGCTTCTCAGCCTTCTTAATGCCGCAATGTATTTTCATTGTTAAAAAGGGATCGTGACCCACAGGCTGAGAATTGCTGCTCTAGATAAACCCATATGCATGAGGCATTCTATCAATTTCATCTTCTTAAAGATATCCTAGAATCTGACAGTCTCTTTAGAGTTACTGCACATATAGCTCTCTTCCTATGATCTCCCTCATCAGCATATTACAAATTCTCTTCATTTATCTTGTATTAATCCCCTGCTTCCGATCAGGGGTCCTCAAACTTTTTAAACAGGGGGCCAGTTCACCGTTCTTCAGACCGTTGGAGGGCCAGACTGTGGGCCCCGGGATGAGTCGGCTGCTAAGCAGCACAGGCAGTGGCAGCAAAAACACCCAGTGGGCCGCATTGGCGGGCGGGCAGTAGTTTGAAGACGCCTGCGTAGCTCAATGGTTCTTAAGTTTCTATGGATCATTAACAGCAGCACCATCTAGGAATGTGCTAGAAATGCAATTAGGCCCCTCCTATAATCACCCACTCAATTAGAAACCTTGGCTGTGGAATCTTAACAATCTGTTTTAACAAGCCCTCCAATAACTGTGATGCACATTAAAGTTTGAAAACCTCTGTTATAGATTATTTCTCATCTTATTCTCTTATTATGCTTAGAACACCTTTGTAGCAAAGGTAAATTTTAAAAACTTGCACGTCAGCTCAGCGCCTGTGGCTCAAGCGTCTAAGGTGCCAGCCACATACACCTGAGCTGGTGGGTTCAAATACAGCCCACCAAACAACAATGATGGCTGCAACCAAAAAATAGCCGGGTACTGTGGCGGGCGCCTGTAGTCCCAGCTACTTGGGAAGCAGAGGCAGGAGACTCGCTTGAGCCCAGGAGTTGGAGGTTACTGTGAGCTGTGATGCCACAGCACTCTACCCAGGGCGACAGCTTGAGGCTCTGTCTCAAAAAAAAAAAAAAGAACTTGCATGTCTAGAAGTATTCAAACTTCTTTGAACCCACTAAACCAGTTAACTGTTTCATCCATCCATTTTCTAGTTTCCAAATTTTGTTACTATAATCTTCAAGTACAGGGATCTAGCCCTCCTCCCATCAATAATACTATTAATAGAAAACCCTCTTTTTTCAATGGTGGGGGATTCCTTTTTAAAAATTCCTTTATACTCAGTTTAGTGTGGCAGGGTAGAAAGTGCCAGCAAATTCCTATCATCAATCTGCCATCTTTACCTTGATGTTCCCTTCAATCTTTACAAATAACCCTAAGAAGATTCAGGTTAATCAACTGCCCAAGATCAGCTAACTGGTAAATAGTATTCAGAGCTGGGTTTCTGAGCCAGAATTTGAAACCAGGTTTCCTAATTGCAAAGCCTCTATTTTCCCCTCCACATGTTTATATTTTATACCACATAATTTCACAATTACTTGTGCTGTTTGATCAAGATTCCACATCCATTTAGTTTCCCAGACTAAAGAAAAAAGGGCTCTGAGGGTCAGAAGTCTTTGTTACCTTACCGGTAACCGCTACAGTATATTTCTTTTCTATCACTAGGTGCAATTAAAATGGTGTTGAACACATACCCATTTTTTGTACCTTTCAATAAGCCTGTACATTCCCTATACTTCTTACCCCCTGTATTGCAACTGCATGTTTACCTTTCTATCTCACACTCATCTGGCCAGCTCTGAAGGGAAAAGACCATATCTACTTTGTATCCACAATGTCTATACCTAAGAAATACTCAATACAAGATAAATAGTATCATTAAGGAGGGCTGGAGTTAAAATGTGCTCAGTAAATAACTGCTCAATGAACAAGTCAAAAAATTAAGGCTGACCTTTACTAAATTTCCATATACCAATGAACAGCTTCAGATGTCAAATGCTATCTCCTATATCACAATCTTAAGGGCAAATGTTACAAATGAGATAGAAAATACTAAATGTTTACACTTGAGTTCTGAAAGTTTTATTTGTGATTATTACAATGTCTAAGGATCATCTCACTTTCAAATAATGTCTGAAAGATGACTTTAATTCTAAGACCCATATACCTTAACTTTTCATGCTTGAAGGAAAAACTTCATAGTCTTCATTTGTAAAATTTAAAAATGACCGAAGATGTCAAATAGAATAGTTTCTACTCATTCTGATTAGAAATATCAGTTCATGCTTATTCAATCTCTAAAAATTTTGGCTTGTTAACCCTTCATATTTGGCAATACAGTAAAAACAAAGCACCCAGAAGTTATACTGAAGTTTTAGATGTCACAAACAACTAAAACTCTTTTAACATCAAACCTCTTATCATCTTTAAAGGTGTTAACAATAACATTTTCCCTATTTCATCACACTTTTAGCTACACTACCTATTGGCTAATAAGTTAAGGACCAAAAATGAGAGATTATTCCCAGATAGGAACGAAAAGAATCCGAGTCCAGGTTCTGTGTGGGCAACGTGGCCTTTCTTCCACTCAGATGTGAGTGAGCTGAGTTGGAAAAGGAAGTCAGCAGGTGGGTTAAGGAGGATGGGAATATGAAAGTTCCGAGGTGTGGGGATTGGTGCACTGTTTCCTTTCTGGACTGGACGTTCTATTTGGGCGGGTCTCTAACTCGGGCCTTATCACTGGCTTATTTAATTTTACTGGGGAGACAATTCCATGTGAATTTTGGATTAAGACAAACTGAATAAGTCCAGGCCTTATTGTTAACTATCATTTCTATGACCTGCAGTGGATCTCCTAAGCCTTGATTTTCTCACCTATATTAATAAATTTGGGGTAAAATGATAGTAGCAATCTCATGGGGTTGCTGTGAGAAGAGACAATGCATGTAAAATGCGTAGCGCATAGTGAAAGCTCAATAACTAAACACTTGCTACTACATGCGCTGAGCTAGAAAGTCATGCACAAGCACTACACCAGGAACTTCACCTATACTGACTTTTCCAATCCTCACAACTATGACAGAGATAGATATTACTATTATCCCCGTTTAACAGGTGAGAAACTGAAGCAAAGAGGTTCAGAACTTGCCTAAGAGCTGGGATTTCAATCCAATCAGTCCAGCTGTAGCGACCTTACCGGTAACCACTGCAGTATATTCTGCTTTCTGAATTAACAAGCCTTCTTAGAAAAGAAGGAGGGGCAGGTCTGGAATGATCTGAAATGTTAAGGAACACCCTAATATCTAAGATCGGGGCTAACCCCGCCCACTCCCATTTAAGATACTCTAAGAAGCCTTTACGAACTCGAAGTATGCTTAGCCAGTTTTACATCTGATGTCATATTTTGAAAGTTCTTACTATCAGTCTTATGCAGAGTGGGGAGGGGGCTAATAGAGGGAAGGGCGATATTAAACTGGATACTCGGAAGGCACAAAAAGCAGCACCATATGGCTGACTCACTTAAGGCTTTTTAAGAGAAAGAACATCTTCTGACCCGTAATAAGACGCAGCCTTGAACATATGGGAACCCCAATCAATAAAAGGGTAGCGGGATAGGGTGGGAGCGGGACGTGGGAAGCGCCTCGCTCCTGACCTCCGGGAGACCGCGACCCCGTGGGTGCCCCTAGCTGCCTCTGACCCACGACCCAGGTCACCTGTAGGGATTGGAATCCACGACTTCTGGGCTCATCTTCTCGATGCGGGCTCGGGCGGCCACTCCGTCGCCGTCCCCAAGCACCCGCAGACTTCTCTCCTGGGCAAGTTCCCTCTCCAGCTCCTGTACCCGCCGCTGCAGCCGCTCCACAGACTCGGCCATGGCTGGGACCCCGGCCGCCAACGCTCCCAGCCCCGGCCTTCGCCGCCGCCGCCGCCCCACGCTGCTCGGCTGCGCCCGCGAGGGGTACGTGAGAAGGCACCTAGCTGCAGCCTTCCTCCCTGCCCAGACGGAGCCCGGGGAAGCGCTCGCGGCCCCTCACAGACAGACACGTCTCCGCCACTCCCAGGGGCCTTCCCCGCTACCGCTTCCTGTGCGTCGCCGACTCGCTCCCCCCTGGCCCTGCAAAACCCGCCTCTTTGGCTTCCTTTTTCGCAGGATTGGCTCGGCCGGGACACCGCAGGACCAGAGTCAAAAGTGTCCGGAGCAGGCGGCTTGCCATGTTCCCTTACTAACCGGGCTGCTAGAGAAGCTGAGTCTTTTATTCCTGGGCTCGACGTCCTGGCGGATCCTTTTGTGAACCGGACCCTGGAGGTCTTCCGCCTGTCAGTGCATTAAATTTTAGCGCCCGAAACGATGACGGTGGCATTGCTTTCTCTAAAATTGACGCCCGCATTTCTAACGCGGACAGAAGAATTGAAATCCGAACACACACAGAACTCTCCTGGCCCACAGCCTGGGACACCAGACGCACGGTCTGGCGTTGCTCGGCAACGGCGCTTAGCGTGTGAGCGATTGGCTGGAGCCCGAACCCGCCCCGCTTCGGACGGCTCGGCTCCAGCACCGAGGGCTTAGTCGCCGAAACCTGTGGATCCTGCGTTTCTGCGGCCTGTGGTGGCAGTCATGGAAGCGGGCGCCGCTGGCGAGCCTGACACGGCCGAAGTGCTGCCCCAGCACAAGTTCGACTGCAAGTCCCTGGAGATCTACCTAAACCGGCACTTGCCTGGCTTTGGGACCGAACCCGAGGCCGCGCTGACGGTTGCCCAGTACAGGTATAGACGCCGGCTTTCGCCTCCAAGAGAAACAAAGTTGTGCCTTGCGTTTTCCTTCCTTTGGTTCTGGATGGGTTTCTAAATTGATCCCGATCGCTTTTCCTGAAAAAACGCATGCCGCAGGCAGGAGCTTCTGTTCCCGATCCCCTGTTTGCGATTCTGGGGTCTTACCAACTGAAGGGCAGTAATAGAAGCACAATAACGTTCACCATTCCATTGTGGGAAGGAAATCTGTGTAAAAAGGTGGAATTATATCTCTCGAGGATTCACGGAGGCAAATGAGGCTGGAAGCCCAGTGGGAAATAGATGCCTTCTCTCACCTGTGTGCTGCACCCATTAGGTCTTTTTCTGAGAAAATGGTGTGATTCCGTTTGGTAGAATCCACGGAGGCTGTTTGTGACATCAGATGGAGAATCGAATTCGAATCCTAGCTCTTCCACTTAGCAAGTCACAGCCCCACTTTGACCTTCAGTTTTTTTAAGTGAGGGAATGGAACTACAGAAGGTGGTCTGAGTACCCTTCTCCATCGTGAATGTGGCTTTAATCTGATGTTTTATTAATATAACATCCTAAAACTTTTTATTAAAATGTTATTTTTAGAATACATAAGGGTGTAAAAAGAGTCCTAGCATTCAGAAAAAGCCATACCGACCTGAAGGCACCTCCATATCTCATCAGAAAACTGAATCTGCCGCTTATTGGGTGGGAATTTAAAGGTTATATAAACTTAAGAACTAGTTTTGTAATTTGTAATACCTTGCCTGTTTTGATTAGACCTAACAATGAAATAAAGTACGGCAATGTGGGTGCAAGGGCCAGTATGCTAGAGATATTTTATCACTCGCATTTTTATTTTTTGAGTACTGATTTTAGTGAAAGTAAAAATGAAAATGGTAAAGATGACTCAATTTGGGGGTCTAGAATTAAGTTACCACTTCCCAATATATATTAGAGGATGAAGGAAAAGGTGGAAAGAGTAACTGAGATCTCTAGCCTGGCAGTCTTGTGTTGTAAACAAACTAAAAGAGACCAAAGTTCAAATTTCAACAAGTACACTTGCTGTGGAGTTTGGACAAATTACTCTTGAGTATCAAGCCCTATTTTAGCAAAAAAAAAAAAAAAAAAGATAG